TACTTCCACTTCACCTCGAGTTCCTCTCGGCTCGGAAAGTGGGGGACTCATGATGGATACCCTGGACAGGGGGTATCCGGTCTTTGTATAAAATTAGTCGGGGTGATCCAGTCTGTTGGACAAGCCCGTTTGCCGTGTATTAATTACTTTTTAGGGGCGGCCCAGTCTGTTGGGCCGGCCCATTAGTTTGTATGTATGCTCAAACCCTAACCCTAACTCTCCCTATTTATACCCCTCTTCTCAGAAGAGGAAGGGGAGGTGGAGGAAACAATGGAGGCTACACTATTCATCATCTTCTTCATATTTACACATTTTCTCCTTTTCCTCTACCCTTGGATTCATTAATCCAACAATAGGATTTTTAATTTTTTATTACTATTTTTTACAACATAAAAAACATGACATCGAGCCACAAAAAATGAATTGTTCAATGAACCATTCACATCCTATCCTATATATCATCATCCACGTGTGCACTTAATAATGAGGTGGAGGCATTTCATTAGTTCATTAAGCTTCTTTTTTAAATATCTTTTAATATATTTTATTGATTATATTAAATGAATATTATTTTTAGCATAAAAAACATTAATTTGATTATATTTTATATAAAACTTTAACATTTAATAACAATTCTATAAACATATATTTAAGCATTGTAAAATTTACTTCATATTTTAAATATGCATATTGATTGTAAACTTTTAAAGAAAAGTATGTATAAGACTCTTTCTTATTAATTTAAAAAATTTTCAATTTCAGAAAAATGAAAAAACATTTCACCTTCAGAGATATTAAATTGTTTATGGCATTTTTAAGTTTTAATTAATGTAATATTTTTAAAATAAAATAGTTATAATTTTTTTAGTGCATGTACAACAATATTTAAAAATACTTTGTATATCTTAGAGTGAGAAATATTCATTTAAAATAAATAAGATTTTAGTTATTTAATGTCAAAAGTTTAGAATATATATAAGCTCGTTCGAAGCACGGGGTTAACACTAGTATTTTTGTATGTAAAAGTATACGGCCTGAACCAAACTTCAATTTGATTCTCATTTTTTTAGAAAACCAAACCGACATAAGGGCACAGGAAATACCCATGAAGCCCGGAGTTTCAAACCTTCTCTCTCTGTCACGTTTGCTTTAACTTACCTCACAGTTTCAGTGGAAATGGGTTTGAAGCCTCGGGGCTTCAAAAAGGGGCTTCAAACCTTCATTTTAATATTTTAAATACACATCTTCTAAAATTAAATTAATAAAATATAATTATCTAATTATTTAAAATAATCGAAAGGAGAATAGCTCATTAAAAAAATTATATTCATTAAAAAAATATTACATCCATTAAAACAATACATTCATTAAAAAAATATTACATCCATAAAAGAAAAATACTGCAAACAATTTACTAATTATTCAAGCGACTGAAGATATGTTCGATCAAATCCGTCGTTAGTGCATCGTGAATCTCTCGACTTTGAATTTATTGGCGGTTTCTTCATTTATTTTATTCGTCGATGTCTTCGTATATAGGCACCTCCTCGTCAGGTTGTATTGATAAATCACAAACCCGTTGTCTTCTACGATCATATTACGAAGAATAATACATGCGTGCATGATATTCCTCATTTTTGTTTGAGAAAAACATTTGGACAGACGATCTAGAATATGTCACTTAGTCTTGAACACCCGAAGGCTCGTTCAATATCTTTTCTCGCTGCCTCGTGAGCTTTTTTGTAGGTCTGGCGTTTAAGACTCATTGGTTCAGAGAGGGACTTCACAATCGTGGAATAATCTGAATATATTCTATCGGCCAAATAATATTCATGTTTGTAAAGCGTCCCTCTAAGATCAAAAAAGCGAGTCGGGTGCAGTCTCATTAATCCAATCGTCAAAAACAGGCAATTGATCGAGAACGTTGATGTCGTTGTTCGAGCCCGCACACCGAAAAAAGCGTGCCAAAACCACAAGTCATTTGAAGCAACATCTTCGAGCATGATAGTAGGCTTGGGATGATCCCCCCAGGAGAAAGAACCGTGCCTCATAATGAGACAATTTTTCCATTCTCAATGCATGCAATCAATGCTCCCACGCATGTCGACAAAGCCATGTTTAGCGACATGGCTTGCCTGTAACCGTTAAATGTTACTCGCTATAGGCTTGCGTACATATCTTTTACGATAAATTTGAATAATAGCTTTAGAAAATTTATAAATACAGGACGTGATGCTTTGAGTAGACAGCTTAAAGTATTCGTTGAACATATCAAATGTCGTCTTGTACGTCCTCTAACGAAGCACGACAATGCATTTCAGGACACTACTAAACCTGCATTAGCCTCTCGCATCAAAGCGTTGGGTGAACCAAGACACCTCACGTTCAATATCGGCGATCGAGTATGTGTAAAAAGAGAGAGCGACTCATTCGAAAATGAATACTAAAATCCTCCGGTGTATAAACACACGGAGTATTGAAGTAGTCGTTGAGAAGTGAAGCGTGGGCAGCCGCTCGATTTCGGTTCAAACGTTGTCGTCGGGTCTGGTGACAGGAGGATTCTGCTTCTTCTTTTTCACCTGGTTGCCACCATTGATAACAACTCGTGGCGAAATAGTGAAAAATGAGAGCTCTCTTTTCATCATCGGATGAAGATGATCCCATTTTAAAAATATATTTTAGAAATAATTATAATAAATAGAAAAATATTTGAAAGAATATTTGACAGAATTATAGAGAGAAGATAGTGAGAGATGTGTGAGAGATATGTTTGTTTTGATTGAATTTATAGGTTTTTATTTGAATTTAATTTTTTTGTGATTAAAAGCTAAAAGAGCCGTTGGGGGAGGGGGAGAGCCGCGTCAAATATTTAACGGGTGGGAGCTGATGCCCCTTAACGCCGCCAGGGGGCGGTGTTTAATGCCCTAATGGCGGTTGACGTCAGGGGGGGGGGGGGGGGGG